AGCAGCGTGTGTCTGGGGGGAAAGGCAAGGGAGCCAGAGAGCAAGAGCAAGAGCAAGAGGCAGAGGCAGAGTTGTGCCTTTCTCACCCCTGTATGGACCTTGGCAGGAAGTCCCGAGGACAGGAAAAAGGGGAGTGGGAATAGGACAGGTGTACGCCCCTTTCATTCAGGCTTGTACCTGGTTTAGGGTTTCAGATCTCCACCCACCAGGGGCAGCAGGTTTCAAACCATTACACTAGTTTTTACACTGATTGTGAGAAGACCAAGTCTTGTTGGTTTCTTCTTGTTTAATACTTTTGGGGAACTGTTGAACGCATACAAAAGTCAATGCAAGTCTTCTGCATAAATTGAAGCTAGGCTGTATGTCTTCTCAGATAGATGTGAGCTGTGCTGTGCTTCCACTCATGTTGCTTCACTATTCCTATTAAAATCCAATTACAGAACTCACAGACTTGAAGGGCAAGATTGGTGGCACGGAACTGAGCATCAGCGTGCAAGATTGGAGTCTTGGTCCCCTTGTCTTCACCTTTGATACGTAGATGTATCTGACTCCACTGTCAACTGTTCCCTTGACAAAGGCTTCATCTCTACCCCCTCTACTCCCTCACGCCCCAGCCCCCAGTCTGGTGTATTAATCATTACAGAGCCATTAAAGAAAGATCTCTGTCTCTTAGAACAGTACAGCACAGTCATATGAATGAAAGGCCCTTCTGTACCGTGCCTCCAGGGTACATAGTGCACTTAGAAATGTGCACATTAGGTGCCTCTTCTTTATGTATGTGTCTGAATTGACAAGTGTATGTGAAACCTTGCCACAAATGGGAGTTTTAGAGTAAAAAGCCTTGTGATAAAAGCAGAGCTCTGACCGTCTGCAAGGAAGGACATCTTCTGTTGCACACTTCCAGCAAGTGAAGGGAACGTTCACTCCCAGGCCACAGATAGAGCAGTGGGCTTAGTCCCAACACTTCATGTCTCACTGAAGCAGCATGTGCAAAATTTACACCCTGTGGAAGGACAGAAAGGGTGGCCAGATGAGGCCATCTTATTCTTTACCTTAAAACTGTGAGCTTTATCTGTTTAATTCAGTAATAAACATCCTAACTTGTGCTTGGGTAAAGCACATGGCTAGCTCCTCTAGGAACACCTTGGGATTGGGAGGATTTGTTTATTTTCCTTTGAATTCTCCTCAGTAGTTTCTGAAACTTTTTGCTCATAAGGTGTCTTACTCTTAGTTTCAACTAGTTTGATCTTGATTTACAGGTTGGCAGTTTGCCTGCGTGGGCACTTCTTCCCCTCTCACTGAAGTGCCCTGACTACCACATGTGTCTTGAATAATAGATACTTTCTTAGATCTCTCAGTATTTGGGCACTCTGATCAGACCATTGCCAAGACAGCCATGTTGGTTAACAGATGAACTCTTTGCTAAGCGTCTCTTTCAGTTCCTGAATGGCTTCCCAGATTTATTCCTCCCTTTCCTCTTTACCAGAAGTAGTTGATGGTTTTTGGTTTTGTTTTAAAGCAAGGACATTCAGCACTGTATGCAGCAATTGTATTTCTGCATTGTTTTATAAAAACACCACAGTTGCAAAACAGGTAGAGGGGGTAACCTGGTCCATTTCTACTTCTTGATAGTGGATGCATTAGCTTTTGATTTGTTGTGACGTTGGAAATTCAGGTAATGTTGCTTGTTGGGTAAAGCCCCCTTAATTCAGTGCCGTCGTAGTTCCCTGTTCTGTGGAGACAAGGTGAGTTCCTGCCTGCTGCCTGGGTTCTGCACTCTCACCAAAGCACCACGTGGCCTCCCCATGGGGTGGGGAGGAGTATAAAAAAATAAAAGTAGTAAAACTCGTGGGTTGAGACAAGAACAGTTTAATAACTAAAATAAAACATAGTAATAATAAAAAGAGTAGTTTTATTGAGAAGGAATATAACAAAACACAGAGGAATAAAACCCTAGAAAGACAAGTGATGCACAGTGCCCTTGCTCCCCACCTGCTGTCTAATGCTCAAGCAGCCATCCACCCCTTCCAGCCAGCCCCCCCACAACTTACATACTCAGTGTGATGCTCTGTGGTCTGGAACATCCCTTTGGCTAGTCCAGGTCAGCTGTCTTGGCCATGCTCCCTCCCAGCTTTGTGTGCACCTGCTCACTGGCAGAGCATGGGCAACTGAAGAGTCTTTAACTTAGGATAAGTGCTACTTAGCAACAGCTAAACCACCCACTAAACCCAAAACACAGCACTAGACCAGCTACTAGGAAGAAAACTAACTCTCTTCCAGCCAAAACCAGGACATGCACCTAAAAAAGCTTTATAACATTGCTCTGGCAACTTGATTTGTTAAGATGCAAATGTTCAGGGAGGGGGACTGTGCCCTGAAGATCATAGCCTGCCTTTGCATGTGCCAGTTCTGGCTTGATTTGCATCATTTTAACGTTTTGTGCCGTAGATGAATTTGTGTAGTCTTAATGTGAAAGATCTTCCATTGTTATAAAGAGGAAGAAAACGTTCCATACTATGTACAGGTGTATGAATGACCTCTGTGCAGAGAAGGATCATGTCCCCTTTGGCAAAGGAGGGAAGGAGCAGATCTGTGCTTAGGCCCGTGGAGGTTCTGCACTCAGCTGGTGGTGAGGATTCCCAGTGGCGTCGCTCTCCTGCCTGGCAGACTGTACTGGAAGCAGTGGAAGCTACTTAGGCAGGTTCCCTCACAGTGCTAGGGTTCAGTCTGAGCTGGCGTGGTGCAGAAAACATTTCCATTAACTGCTGTTCCAGTGCAGTTTGGCTTTTCCTGAAACATGTCAATTAAAACTTTAAACACTTCTGTATCAGGCATGTCATTTACAATGAATGGAAGGTACATTACGACATTACAGTCTCTAAATCTGGCTAGCGCTAGATTTTATTAAATTTATGTAAAATATAGCTGTGTTTTAGGAGCCTGCCAGTATGGGTATGCTTCCAAGAATAACTACTAAGGATTAACTATTCATGCACATGGTTCTTGAGCAGTGTTGCTGGGTTTTCCTTGCAGCAGCCATAGGGAACCTTTTCATAACTCGAAGTAAGAAAATGCACATGAAGTATCAGTGGAGAAACCTCTCTAATCTAGCTCTGTAGTTTGTTGTATTACTGAAGACTTTTTGTTCTCCCCCTTTTGCTGCTCAGGCGAATGCAAGTTAAAAGTTTGTATTTAAACTACCTCTTCCTTGAGTCGTGTCCTGGCAGTGGCCAGGACATGCCCTGAGGAGTGACTTGGGTGAAGTTAATCCAGCCCGAGTCCCAGCATTAGCCTACAGAGGCAGAAGAAATGAGAAATCTTTACCCAGTTAACATTGGAATTAATGCAAGATAAATTTTTGTTAACTTTTGAGATGAGTCAGTTATGCTAACTTTAGACAGAGGTACTTTTTAAATTCAAAGGCAGACAGTTGACCTGCAGCAAATTTATAGACCTTATTTCTTATCTCTTTAACACTTCTCGACAGAATGAGGTGTATTCATGTGGGGCAAAAAACCTTCTGAGACAAAAGCAGTATCTGCTTAAATGTTTCCCATATCACTGTCCTGGCCATGCTTGGTTTTCTGAACACTTCTAAATTGTATTTGCTAATATGTTATGGTGTCACTAATTTTGGAAATTGGACACTTTATTTTCCACCAGATTTATATCACTGTGTATCTTACTACTCTGGTTAAACCATTTTTTTATTACATGATAATTACATGATCTTTCTCCTTGTGTTCTTAGCAAGCAGCCTTGGGATTTAACTAGTGGGTTTTTTCCTTTTTTTTTTTTTCTCTAACTTTGGAGGTCATCTCTGGGTGAAGAATCTTGAGTATTTTCAATGAGGATGACAATGTGAATATGCTTAGGTATCTGCCAGCCCATTTTTCCTTCTCCTCCTCCCTTCCCTCCATCCCCATGCTCCTGTCCCCGTGGCAGCACGTGGCTTGGGGACAGGGGACTGGCTGGGCAGGAGCCAGGTGCTGCCTGAGCCCTGGGCTGATGTGCAGAGCCTGGGCACATTCCTGGTGAGCACAGCATCTGGCTCTTGCACCTGTATGTCATTTTATCTATTCATTCCTTCTTAAGCAGTGGCACTGTTTCTTTAGACAGGCCCCTATGAACTGCCCCGTGCTGAGAGCAGAGGTTGCCCCTTGGTGCCTGGTGTGGATATCCAGCATGGAAAGCCAGGCTGTGTAACTCCTGGGCAGCAGCCTGTCTTCTCATCACAGTTCCCCCGTGCCTGTGTGTGAGGGTGTTGTAGGGGTGCTGCTGTTCAGCTTCAGCCACACCATCTGCCTGGGGGCTCTACAGGTGCCTGGCAAGGGATAGCACACTGTCACTCCTCAGCAGTGACTGGAGTGGTTGCCAGTGGGTTGTCGTGGTGCACCTCCCTGGCTAAAGGCACGGGGGTGAGTGGGAGCTGTGGAGCATAGGGAGGCCCATTCTGTGCTGCAGCTCCCCAGGTGAGAACTGCCCTGGGGTCTGTCCTCCTCTGCTGAGACACAGCTGGTGCTGGCTCCAAAATGGGAACAATCAGCAGGGCTGCTGCTGAGCTCTGAGCTAATGGCTTCTGCTTCTTGTCAGAGCCAGCAGCACTGGCAGTGTACTGTGTGGGTGTGTGTTACTTTTGGGACTGCAAATAGTATCTCTGCATGGCACTGTGTTGAGCAAGCCCAGGTGGAGAGTTGATGCCAGGTAAATGCTGTGCAGTAAATGCCCACAGAGTGCTAATTTGCCTGTGTGGGCAAATTCTGAGGCTTAAACTCAGCATCTGTTCAGCTCCAGCAAGAAAACAGATGTTTAATATTTATCTCCACACTACTTTATGTTAAAAGTGCCAGTCGTTCTCAACAGTGAAAGTACTTGCTGTCAGTGGGCTTTCCACATGTTTCCTGAAACACAGAAAATATCTCTTCATTAACTGTCTTGTAGATTAGTTGAGTTTCTATACGTAATTCTTGCTGTCATGGTTACATGTATGCAAGCTGGCTTCTGAAAGCAGTACAAGGTCATGTATGTTTTCAGAGATCAATCAAGGAGTGGGGGAATGGTTAAGAGAGGTAAATAAATCCCTCTTGAGATCATTTCTTACATGTAGGCTTCTGTAATCTAGCACTTTGAGTGTAAGCTGTTCTGGAATCTCCTGTAATTCCCACTGACAGACTGTTTGTACCCGGTGGGGACTGCACACAGTGCCTGAAGAGCCATCACCCAAATGATGCCCTCACCCACCCTTTCTGCTGCTCTCTGGAAATGCCCACTGTATGCCAGAGACAGCTTCACCTGCCTTCTGCTGTGTGGGCTTGGGGTTTTTCTGTGCTCGCTTTGTGGAGGTGGTGATTGTCACTGCTCTTCCTAACTAGTCATACTGCTCCAATTCCTGCATTCTGCAGTATTTCCAGTGCCATGTTCATTTGAGAGTTGCTGGTTAATCTGTCAAATCACACTATCCCTCCTGATTCCCTCCCTCTTCTGGCTTGTCAGGAGGAGCTTCTGAGCACCAGTGACATCACTCAGCAGTAACTGCTGTGCTGGAAGTGGGGGAGCAGGGGACCCCTATGCTCATCTTCCTTGCAGAGAGTCTTCAGAATTACACATTCCATAAATGGCTATTAAAATATACCATATGTGCCTTGTAATAGCTCAGTAAATATCTATAAAAGTAGTACTTTTGCTAGCTTCACAATTTCAGATGTAAAATACATTATATTGACGGTTTATTTAATGTGAAAGGGAGAGTGATAGTGTAAATATGCTTTTTAAACCAGCAGAAGAGGGGTTAAGTGGTGATGCAGCATAACTGGTAAGGGGAGGGAAAAATATCTTTGTTTTCTGTAACTCCCTGAGGTCTGCAGGATTGCATTCTGTGAACTCACATGGCAGAAGTGCTGTGCATTTGATTAGTTTTGACTCCTCTATGTTGGTAATTTAATGCTGAATAAGAGGCATGCAGAGTTGTTGACACACGTTTCTCATGTGGCTGTTTCTTTACTGCCCCAGAAGTAAGTTGATGTATTGAAATGACAAAAGAAAATGTGCCCTGAGCTATTGGTGTGTTCTGACTTTCTCATAGGCTGGTCCAGGGACCATCATCATGGCTTCGGGAGTCCAGGATTTTAACAGAACAGAGTCTGACAGACTGAATGAGATCAAAGGTCACCTGGAAATAGCCTTACTGGAAAAACACTTTTTACGTAAGTATAAAATGAATGCTGTGACTTAAGCCTGCTGAAATAAGGCTTCTCTAAATGTCAGAAGCTGGCACCAGAAGGCTGGGGTGGGCTGATGCGTGGACAGCACGTGGGCTGACGCTTCCCTAGGAGGAAGGTAAAAGCATTCCCCAGGTTTCTGGGTTGCTGGGATTTTTTTTTCTCTCCTCATTGCATTCCTCAGAATGTACCTCATTACATGACAAAAGCTGTTTAGTTGAAGTCTTGGCGTTGACATCTTAGAATTAACTCAACCTTAATGTTTTTGCAGTAGGTGTTTCTTGTCTAGTGGTAATTGTGGGAAGGAAGAGCTTTCTGAAGGGTGACAAATGTATTTCTTTAGCAGCTGTTTCAACAGTAGTATGTCTTAAAACATGTCTCTTAACAGTATATGAATTACTGGTAAGAGGTGTAAGAAGTACACAGAAAAGTATCTGTAGCTTTCAAGTGTTACTTCTTTAGGTTTATGTGTATGTTTGGGGATTTTATCTCAGCAGATCTGAACTGCTGACTTGTAAGATGGGATAGTTAAAATCAAAAAATGGAAGACAGGCATTCCTTTAACTTGAGGGAAATAGAGATCTCTCTGATAAATCATGAAGTATTCTTGCTCAGTGGCTTTCCAAAATGGTCCTTCTAAAGGATCATTTTTAAACTTCAGAATATGAATGTTATTTGTATGTGCTCTAAGCTTGTCATATATTTTCTAATGGGTAAAAATAAAAAATGTTGTAGAGTCTACTTAATTTCTACACTGTAATCTATCAACAAGCATTTGTGTTTTATCTTCAGCATATTCTCAAGGATTTGGAATTAGTTTTCTGTGAATTGTTTATTATTTGGCAATATTTTTTTGATTTTTTCCTGTGTGTATTGGAGGGAAGCATGATAAACAAGACTGGGCAAGAGTTTCTGCTGGTATCTGGAAGAGGGGTCTTGACTGGAATATCAAGGAAAAACTTCAAGCTCTGTTTGACTTGCCTTGTTGGTTTAAGTGATCTGTTTGAATTCTTACTCAGCTGTCTAGTATGGAGTTACTACATACTCCTTCCCATCCCCAAAGACACATTGCTTAAGCTCCTGTTACCAAATTGTTTGACATTTACAATTTCCTGATGTGATACATGTAACAGAAACAGTAGGACTTCCCCAAACATTTTTTTTTTTTGTTCGTTTGAACTAGGTTGTTGTTTCTGAAAACATTATATGCTTCCCAAACAGTTCCATGGCTAGTGAATTCATTTTGAGTCCTTAGTATGAGGCTGCACTAACCATGTGGGGTACATGTTTCTGTGAATATTTTTACTGTTCAACTTCATGCTGTAGTTTGAAAACCTTCTTCTGATCAACCATTTTACCACTTTGAGCTGAATCTTTCCTTTGCACAGACTTTTGTAGCAAACTCCAAGGTAAAGGATGACAAAGTTCAGCTTTATGTAAGCTTTGAGCAGATGGTTGGAGGTTCAGGCCAATGGGGTAGTTCAGCTGAGTGCCATGAGCCTGTCTTGGGTGACTCTAGCCTTTACCACTAGGTCAAGAGCTCCTTACTAAAGTTTGAGGTTTGCTTTAGCTTCATTGATAGTGTTCTCCTGGCAAGCTGGATGCAACTCTGTACAACAAGAGAGAGAATAATAAACTGGTAGAGAAATAAGCACAATGAAGTGCATCCCTTACACACCCATCACCTTCAAAATATTGGGTTGAAATATGTAAGTATGTTTATCAGTTGGAGTGAAGTAGGAGCTCACTTTCTGGATATGGTTCCTGTATTCTTTTATTTTTCTTCCTCCTTCTCTTTAAGTTCATGTTTTGGATCTTTTTGTGCTGAAATGCTTCATTATATTTTTTTCTTCCCAAAACAGAACTGATAGTGAGCAGAAAAACATTCTTGAAATGTGCCATTTATTTACTTTAATTTGCCCTTGAAAGAAAGTTTCATTTCTATTTATTTATTTATTATAATTCTATTGCTGCAATAGATGTTTTTTAAGGCTAGTCATTCAGCTGTATTTGCATACTATTTTAAATGATAGAATCCCTGAAGGACACCTCGTTATAATTCTATTTTTACATACAGTGTTTGCCACTTCCTCTGACTCTGTTTCCTCCAGGTAGGTGTGCAGGAATAAAAGCAGCTGTTCTTATGTGGGGCAAATATTTAAAGTTCCATGGATTTGCTTCCCTATGTGTTGACTTTCTAATCATTACCAGCGTGATCCTGACTTCATTTTTGCCTCTTCCTTACCCCTTATTTGTATTGGTGTGTTATTAGCCAGGAGGTTTAAGTAGCACATGTACACAACGCAGCTAGAAGTCGTTGTGGGTGTGTAGTTACAGGTGCCTGGCTAGAAGAAGAGAGCAGTGAGTATTGTGTTCAGTGAAACATCCCAAACCCAACTGTAGCCTCTACAAGCTGCAGAGGAGATCTAGAACAAGTACTTGCTGGAGACAAACAATTGTCTGTGAAGGGAAAATATCTTCATCTAAGATGCCAGATGAATCTCTTCCTTAGTGAAGGGATAATCTTAACATGCAGAGAGATGAAGATGAAAGGAATTGCTTGGCATGTTGTGTAGCTGTAAATGCAAATAAAATGTGACTGGAAACAGGAGCGGTTTAAGCTGCAGACTGACAGGAGGATATGAGGCATTGCAGAGGAAGGGATCTTGGATAATGACATCTTAAGCAAGGGAGGGATCATCTGACTCTTCCAGCTGAAAGGGCTAAAGTTGCTTTTTCTGTCTGTGCAGGAATGGTCTTAATCTCTGTAATCTAATGTCTCCTCCTGAGCCCTAGTGTGGGAACGCCAAAACCGTGTGTCGGGTCTGCTGAGGCTGCTGCACCAGGGTGGGCTCCTCAAGAGCAAGGCTTGAATGCCTGCTGAGCAAAAAGTGCAGAGAGCTTAGTTTGGACCTCCGAATGCACGTGGATGGAACAAGCTTTGTCTTGAATCTGTCACTATCAGAATCATCCATTTCTAAAGGACTTGGTTTTAACACATGTGAACACTGCCTTGGTGCTGGCTGAAGGTTCAGGTAGGGAAGGCAGGTGCTGAACTGGGACAGCTAGGTTAATATGCTGAGGTTAGCAGTGGTTTCTGTGCTTCCATTTCAAAATCTGGTTGTATATAAACAAAAAATAAAAACTTCCTTGCTCCTCTTGCATTTGAGAGACAAAACAATAAGCAGTATCCTTCTGGGCTTGTACCTTCCCATTAGTGTTTGTGCCTGGTTATGGAGGGCAGTTTTGCTGATGTCAGCAGGCTGGTCCCTGTGCTGCAAGGTGCTTTGTAGGCACGCGTGCATCCTGTGGTTTACATGACGTGTTCTCATTCAAGGGTGTGCAAGCGTTTTGCAATACTAATTTTAGCAGCTCAGGAAGAAGAGGTGGTGGTGGCAGCAGCCGAGAGTAAACACACCAGGTGACTGTTAAAGAAGAGGATGAGTCATAAACGGGTAAACTGAAGAAATGCCATGTGAGGATGAAAAGCTTTAGGAGGAAATAAAGTCTTCCACAGGGGTTTTGCATTCTGCTTGGTACAGCAGGCTGTGGCAGGAATCTCTAGGGGCTTACAAAGCTGCTGGTTTCAATTGTGATTTTTATACCAACGTTACAAAAGAAACCAGGATTACGCTTCTTTGCCATTGAAACATCAACTTCCCCATGCTCTTCATTCTCATATGTGCCTTTTTAAGCCTTGCATGTGACTAACTTCACAATGTTTTCTCTGGCTTACACTTTTTGGTATAAATGATTCAATGATTGTAAGAAGGGTGACCTAGCAGAATACAGACCTCATGTGAGTAGAACTCTATAAAATGCTTTGTGGTCCTTGGGCAGTTCTGAGGTGTTAAGAAGCGATAAACCTCAGAGGCCAAGTGTGTGGTGGTGGTGGTTCTGTACAGAACTAATGCCTCCATGAACAGCCAGAGCACTTGTATGCAACAAATTGACTGAAACCAACTTAGTCCAGTTACCAACTGTGTCAGAACACCCCTGATGTAGTTTATCCTGATGTGAGAGTCAAACAACTGCTGCAGTAGCAGAGCTAGAGAAAGGCAGAGGAAGAGTTTCACTGCATTGTTTTTTCTCTCTTCTTCTGACCTGTCAGCCTGTGGTCACCCTTGATGCAGAAATCTTGAAGCAGAATAAAGAGTTTACTTAAGGAGCAGGTGAAGATCCTGCTAAGAGAGTAAGTAGCTGCTATGTGTATCTGAGCCACCCTGTCATGGTTTAGGGTCAGGGCCACCCCCAGAACCGTAACAGATGCTCTGTTAACCCCCTCCCCTGATCCCCAAAGCAAAAGAGAAAGGAAACAAGGGAGAGAGACTTGTTGATTAGAAACAAACAAACAAACAAACAAACAAAAAACCCAAACAGCTTTAATTCTACCACTAGTAATAATAGTAATAATGATAATAAAATGGAATATGTACAAATAAATACAAAATTGGTATTGAACCCGACTCTCCCCTGATGGCAAAATGTCACAGTCACCCCCGACTAGGGGGCAGCCCCTGGGGAAAGGGTCCCAGGCTGGACCAGATGCCAGCCACTGCAGGGGCAGCCAAAG